ATATGTATGTATGTATGTTTGTATGTATGTATGTATGTATGTATGTATGTATGTATGTATGTATGTATGTGTGTATGTATGTATGTATGTATACATATATATATATAGGCATCATATAGGCTTATATATACTACATATATATATATAAAATACATAAATTAACTGCAAATCTTTTAGACTTCGTTAAAAATTGTTGAACATAAGTAAATAAAGAAAAATTCTGTTCAAAAGTTAGCCACGTTGATCAAAATAAAAATTAATTACCGTATATAAGAGTTTAAACCAATAAACCAAGACGTTTTCTATTATGAATTTGGTTTACATGTTTATCACCAATCTCATAATAATCTTTTGTCTGTACTTAGAAATGTGAAGCTTCATTTAACGTTTGTTTAAAAACAATAAATCGACGGATTTTTTTAATATGATTATTTAATTCATTCCAGGACTTTACAACAGATGGAACAAATGATAATCGATAAGATGTTGTTCTACAAAATGGTATCATTTCCTTATATTACACAAGTTATAAGCAGCGGCGGTTTCAAAAAACCTAAATAAAAATTTGAAGTATAATAATTTTGTAAAATACTGTTAGTTTAAGAAATTCTCTCCGATTTTTTAATAACGGCCACCCTAACTCTAACCGCAAGACACTGGCTTGTATGTTTCCATGCACCAACACATAATCTAACAGCTGATATCTGTATGTTTTCTAAAGCATCACTCAGGTATTCCGGAATATTGCACCAAACAGGCGCTGCATACTCAATTAGTGGTCTTATAAATGATATGGTTGACCTAATGTCTTACGAAAATGTATATTTTAGCACGACGCAACATAGTAACGAAATTGTTGCTTTATTAATTATAGACTGAAGGTGTTAATCCCATGTAAGTTTTGAATTAAAAGTTACACCAAGGTGTTTATGCTCTTGCACAAATTGAACAGGTGTATTATTATATATTAAATTTGTTTATTTCTTTCCGTCGTGTAAATAGTATTGCATGATTTTAGACAGGGTAGAAAGATGCCCATTGTAATAAAATATATGGTAATAAAAAGTGAACAAATTAACACTTGATAAATATTTAGAGTGTCCTACAAATAATTAGTCATACAGGACTGTCTGTGCTGCAGTTCTGTCTCTGTGTTTTGTTCTGATCTGCGTTTCGTCAATACCTTTTTTCAAGTCATACAGCATTAGCATTACACCGAATTTTGTGCAGGCAAGTTCCGCCTATGTGTTTTGTTCTGTTCGTGGGATAATACAAAGTTGGTGTACAAAAAGAGAGTGCTCATAAGACATTTCGCTAAACCTACATGCGAACTGCGTACGTGCGGAAAACATTTTGTATTTTTCAAATGTCAGATTCTAAACGTGGCTTTTGCATTGTAATTAATTACATTAATAAAGCGGCTCACCAAAGTTGACTAATGACTGTTAAACTACACGTCCAAACAGAAATTTCCCACGACCCAATTTTGGGTTATGAAACCATGCCGCTGGTGTAGTACAAATTAAAATTTTAAATTTGCCAAAAAAACCCCCCTTCAAATAGACATACTAGGGGAAAAAGTTTCATTCAGAAAAATAATGAAATTGCTTTCAACTCGGAGGAGATTATCTTTGGTCAGTAAGATCAACTTTAAACACTAATTTGGCCGTTCAAACAAATTAATTAGGAACCAGGGTCTTATAAGGTCTATCTTGATTTAAAACAAGCATCAAACATTTGAAGTCATGTTCAAAAGCACACTATGTGTAGACTTATCGCCCGAAGATAAAGTTTTCGTCGATCTTAAGAAATAAATGAACTTTCCAGCAATCTTAAAGGCAATGACTAATTGTCTAAAAATTCCATGTTTTTTTTTTACCGCGTTATTAGATCCATAGCAGATTATGGATATTTGATTAGAATTATTTCTGGATCGTTAAAAAAAATATATATATAATTAACGTAATGTTAATCAGGAAAGAGATAAATAAAAATTGTGGGCATCGTATGTTTGTCGATCTGTTCCTGCAACGCAATTTCGTATTGTCTCATTTTCATCTTCAATGGATCGAGGTGGTATTGAGAACAATTTAGGATGTAGGCCTACATCACAGTTTTCACTCTTCATTTTCTTCCTTACACTAAATGTAGAGAAAATAATCACACATTAAATCTCGAACTACAGTATTACAGTAAGTTTGCTACATAGTGTGACACATTCTGTTTCAATCTGCTTTATGTTAAATTTTTGTTGAAATTTAAAAAAAAATCTTTGCATACACAATGCTACTACTTCAATAAGATACTTTTACCGATAAATTTCTAAACTTCTTAAACGAGTACGAAAATATTTTGGTAATTTAATTTTGACCAGAGTTAAAGTTGTTAGTGGGATGGTTTTGGTCTACGTTAGGGTTTTGTTTCTACATCTGAAAAGTGATTAGCGCCACCTCTCGGCAGAAGCACAAGGAACAAGTTTGAAATTTGAGACGCCAAAATATGCTGTCTCCTCCGCAAGCTAACAGTTACAGTAATAATGTTATGAATTGTAAATTGAACATACATTTAAGCCAATTTTTTAGATATTTTAATATTGTTTGGTTAAATATATAAACAGCTCTATATACATGCAGTTGTTTTAAAATTAAATAATTATTCTGATGAATGTTTACGTTGATGTTGCAAAATGGAATCAGTTACTGAAACCATGGACCTATTAATAATTATTAATAGGTCCATGCTGAAACCAATACAGTTCCAACATACCCTTTATCATTTTCGATATCAGCAGCCAATCAAAAATCGGGACTCACCATGATATTTGATAAGCCGTATACCTCTGGTTTCAGAGTTATATGCTGGCAAGCAAAATGTAGCCTATCAAACAGAGGATAGCGTAATGCATTTTGGGTGGTGGTGGACGGTGACATCTCAGAAATTCTGCATTTTCTTGTGTTGTGCCTTTATTTCTATTTTTGATTTTTTTTTTGTTTGAATCATTATAATATATTTTATTTATTTATTATTTTTATGATGTGAACTGCAGAAGCTCTTATACGCTATAAAGCTAAACATTATTATTATATTATTATGTTCACGAACAAAGCCATTGAAAGAATCGAAAGCAAGTTCCCCTTTTTGTGGCTGCTGGGTGCAGTAGAGGCTCCACAATCCACCATGGCATACCTTAACTCAGTTATCTAGCCTCAAAGTTTTTATTTTTCGAACCTTTAGAGTTGCGCATGTGTTTCTGGTGGAACTTCAAACTGCACAGGTCTTCCTCCAATTAAAGAGCATTGTTGGGACCGGGGATTTTGGTGGTCTTTAGCAGCTTTGGTTATGAATCCCTCTAATAAAGACCGTCACTAAGTGGTCTTTAAATCTCCCTTTATATGGAAATAAAGAAATGATATAGTAAATGCATGGCCGGGAGGCAAATGTATGATTATTTTATTCCAAATGTTTTAGAATGGATGGATTTCTGTATGATGTTATTGATCCATTTAATTTTTTTAAAAATGCAAACTTTAACGTCCTACTAACAGTGAACACATCGTTATTTAATATGGAGCACTGCATATACATAAAGCGCGGCTTTTGATGTATATTATTTTGATGCTGCAGTACAATAATAATAATAATAATATTAATAATAATAATAATAATAATAATAATAATGATAATGACAATGATAATGATAATGATGATGATGATGATGATAATGATGATTATGATAACAACTATAATAATAATATCAATGTTAATAAATAAAACATGAAGTAACGGAGAATCAGTTACGGCGTGACATAGGCCTAATAGTTAAGCAAATCTTGAAGCAAACGAAAGTAAAACGTACACTAAATATAAAAAAAAACAAAAAAAACAAAAAACAGGCAATCACGGAAGCTATAAATACTCAGCTAAATACCGTAAAGCGGCGAGCATTTCCATTAAGTGACGTGAAGAAGAACGGTTATGGATGCCAATGACTCTGTAGTTGAACTTTTCGGTTAAAAAATAGAAGATAGTAATGCCGTACTTATATTTGTACTCTGCATTTATATACCATTGGACATTGTAATTATTGCCGGGAATACGTTCGTTCTTGTAGTGATTCGACGAACACCGAGTCTGCACAACATTCAGTTTGAGTTACTAGCATGTCTGGCCTTTGTTGATCTTCTTTCTGGTATTGTTGGTGTTCCGTTGAGCATATGGGGAAATATAACACGGCAGTCGCTATATCTTGTAGTTGAAGACTGTGAATTGCAGTACATCCCAGGCAAAATACTCTTCGCTACATCGTTTTGGCATCTACTTATGATAACTGTAGATCGATACATTGCAGTGATGAAACCTCTGATCTACCCCAAATTGGTCACGCGAAACAGAATACGAAAATGTGTGGCCGTATCTTGGGTATGTGGGACGTTGTTTGGTTTGCTCTATCTGATTCCAAAAATCGAACGTCGTGAAGAAAAATATTTCTGCTTTAAAACTTCAAAAATGTTAGGTTCAATTGCATTGCTCCTGGCTGTGTTACTTGGCACTGCAATGATGGTGTTCATGTACGTGTGTATTTTCAAAGAGGCAAAGAAGCAACAACGTAAAATTGTAAAAGCAAGCGCAAACAAAGCCGAGTTTCGAAGGAAGTTTAAAGGGGCGAAAACGGCATTTATCGTCGTTGCATTCTTTCTTATGTACTATATACCTCATGTTATACGCATACTACTTGGCAAAATAGTGGAACACGAGAACCTGTTCTGGATGGAGTGGCTAGCAGAAATATGTACCACATCTAGCCTGGCTATTAATCCCATAATCTATGTTTGCCGCTACAAATGTTTCGCTAGATGCTTTCGTAAAATATTTAGATTTCAGTTTGTTTAACAAAATTGCAAGAGGGTCTGAGAGTTGACAAAATGAAATTACACGAGATCGTATATGTCCACTGGTTGTGGATTATACGAATGTGGCCCTACGGAGGCTACGCACTTCACATAGATTTGATTTCCCACAAAGAAAAACATATTTCCGACACGCACGGTAAAGCAATTTTAAATGTGGGTGTTCAATGATTCTATACTCAATTACTTCCTGAAAAGGTCTAGTTCGAGTAACCAACTTTGCTACGAAAGAAACTGATATTAATATCGAGAATACGACAGGGATGATCGTTCGTTGTTTCGATATCGTACCGTAATTTTGTTGGCATCAATTTGCAATTTCTAACAGGGAATAGCATTGCACTATGTATGGAATACAGTATAGTTAGACAACTCGATGGACAAGCCACATACATCCAGACATTCTCCTAGAATCACACCTTTATTTCAGACAGGAATAAACTAATTATATGGAGATGCTACTACATGAACCACGCCTGGAGGAACAGACCTGAAATACAGAACCGGAGGGCCGCGCCAGCGCCAGGAAACGCCTAAATTGTCATTTTTCGGGGGGATTTGCTTTGCACCTTGGAACACTTTCGAGAAGTTTTGAGCAACGCCCGTCCACGTCACTTTTTTCGTCTGGTACACAGGCCCCCAGTCGTGGACATCGGAACCCCTCCCCCTCGACAAATCCTGGCACTACCCCCTGTTAAAGCGTGGGCTATTTGAGCTAAACCAGGGAGCCTACGGTGGTTTTATTAAAGTTAAAACGCATGTAGACTTGGCCTATACCAGAAGAAACAATTCCGGTTTAAAGAAAGTGTTACTTGTCCATTGCGTGCCATATGTTTATTGTTTTAGAGTTTTAGGTTAGTAGCAACATAGGTGAACCGACTGTAAAAACAAGACCATCAGAGGATGGAGGCAGACTATTATATAAACAAGAGGAATGATTAATGAATCGCTTCTCATTATTATAGGCCAGATTTCAGTAAGTGTAATTCCAAATAGACCTGACCTTGGGACTGGTGTATTATTCCTCAGATAACTTTTAGTAAAACAACATAATAATTAGTACGGTATATATGTTTATTATTAGTATAGGCCTAAGGATTATTAAGTGGTATTATAGTCGAAAAATCTTGTTTCTTGTAAAGTTTAAAGTATAGGCCTATCTTTTTTGCTGAATATACTTTGATTTTAATCTTTGAATTGCTTGTTTTTAAGGATATATTTATTTGGTATGGAGTTTCCCTTCATTAGGGATAACAAGTTTATTTTATTGTTTTTAAAAAAGTTCAAACCCCTCATAGGGGTTTGAACCTAAAACTTGACGATTACCGTTCAGTCAACTTTGTAGGCCTATAGAGTAAATTTTAAGTTTCAATTTAAAAGTAAAAATATTCCCCTCTTGAAACGGTCAGATAAGCGTTCTCAATCTTATTACAGTAAATATGCCTATTATGTGTGTGTACATTCAAACACATTGAGTACCCCGGTAGTTGCATACGTATTCTTTTTTTTTCCATGAGAAAGTGAAGCCCAGGAAAATCTTGATTCCTAGATGGTGGGAAATGAGCTTTCCCGACTTCTAATTTTCCATTGTAATAAAAAAGAATTCAGCTAACAGGTCCTTAAAAGGCAGGTCTAGATTTTTTTTTTGCTTAGCAGCCCAAGGGGGAGGGGGAAGGACCCCTCAGATACGCCAATGCTCCTCCCAACTCCTAACGGCAATCCAGAACACGGCACTTATTAATACTATTCTTGGAAATTTATTTTTTTATTTTTAATGTAATTAAATGTGTTCTCGATGTGAATTTCTTCTTTTCCTAATGAATGTATATATGAATCTTATTTTTAATTACCAAATATTGAACCCATATTTTATCACTTTTTGCCAATTCTTTACCCAATTGATGTAGGCCTATATAAAATTTATTAATTATAAACAATTTTAATTTTTTATATTTTTTATGCGATATTCTTCATGTTTATCTTCCTTCGATTTTTATTGTTAAACTTCAATTTGCCTAAAAATTGCAATAAAGATTACTTTGAACTTTGAACTTTGTCAAGATTGTTAACTGTAAAATACTGTTATAATACAATATTATGTTGTACCATAGCCCTACGTCTTGGTTAATACGTCATGCAAAGGAGGAATGCACTGTCAACGCCAACGCCATTACCGAAATCAAAGTTTAATTGACTGAGCATGTGCAATAGCTTTAAGTAATCCAATTCCGTTTTAGTCAGGTCATCCAATCTGTGGCGTCATCACTTGAGGTTCTAATGTGAAATTCTTTATTCAGTCGGCATCAGGGTGGATGGTATAAACTCATGTTTTCATATGCATAACTTTCATACAGTCACTCCATCTGCAACCTCTCCTCCCTCCTCTTCACTCAAACTTCGCCTCCTCACGGAATAACCTCAATCACAATCCCCAGATTTCCCTCCCCTCCCCCTCCCCCACTCCTGCGTGGATCTGAGGTGCAGAACCCCTTTGGGAATCCCCGAGCCTCCATCAAGAAACCATTCCGTTCATCGGTAAAGGGACCCCCACCTTATTACTTATAATCTAACCGCCTGTCCCTCCTGCTACGCGGCAATAAACTAAACACACCTTTCAGCTCAGATCACATTCTTTCAAGATAGGCCACGCAATGCAATACCGTAAATGCTCGAATACGGTACTGTAAGCGCCGCGGCGCTTATAACATTTTTGGAGGCTTCAGTGCGGCACTTATTCGAGGGCGGCGTATATTCGAGAGCGGCGCTTATAAAAAAAAATGCGTTCCCATATTACATAGCTCACATATTCCCGTACTTCAGGTGGCCTATCATAGGTCTACGTCATCGTAAATAAACGTTTACAGAGAAATGTTTGTGTCTTCATTGTGATATTTATACATTTTAACATTGTATACGTTGTATTTAAAACCCTGTTTCTCAAAGTGTTTCATCACACACATGGTAATATAAACTCTCGATTAGCGGCGTTTAACTAAAAAAAGTCTGGCTTGGTGCGGCGCCGCTTCGAGACCGGCGATTATTCGAGCATTTACAGTATCTTAATACAAGATTATGTCCGTTGTCTGTTCCAAGCTTAATCAATCGTACATCGTTTTGATCTTTCATCCTCACTGTACCTATATAAAGCCATCTCAATTCTTTCTAATCAGTGTCTAGGAATGGTCAGTACAGTGAGTGCAAAGTACTGGGACCCAGGGCTAAAAATTATTAATTATTATTATTATTATTATTATTATTATTATTATTATTATTATTATTATTATTATTATTAATTATTTTCTTAAAAGAAAAAAAAAACAAAACAAAAACAGACGGCCAGCAAGACCTTCAATTTACGTTAAGAAGCGAAAATGGTTGGTTATTGAAGATACAAGATACAAGATAACATTTGTCTACAACAAAAAAAAAAACAAAAAAAAAAACAAAGAAATTATAAAGCTCGCAAAAAAATACAATTCGAAAGACTATCACATTAAAATTGATCAAGGATATAAAGTATCAGCATCAAAATTCCATAAAGTACGAAATTGGCTGAAAGTTTATAGTGGAATGTCGACTTCGGAGGGAGACTTAACACATTAATTTCTTTCTTTCATCTTATTTATTAATAATCTCAATACTGCGGACTTAAAAAGTTCAGTCTCAAAAAAGCGCCGCACCAAACCTGATTTTTTTTTTTTTTTAGCTAGCGCCGCTCTCGAATACGCACCGCGAAGCTTAATCGAGAGTATATACCCTGTGGGTAATGAAACACCTTGACAAACAGGGTTTTAAACACAATGCATACAGTGTTAGAATGAATAAAAACGCAATGAAGACACAATCATTTCTTTAAAAACGTTTATTTACGATGACGTAGGATCTATGATAGGCGATGAACTACGGGAATAGGTGAGATGTATAGGTATATGGCAGGGCCGGCGGAACGTTTTTCAAAGTGGGGGGGGGGGGAACTTATAAGATAAATGGGAATATGAATCATGCAGATCTGGAATCAAACCTAGGGGGTGGGGGTAAACATTTTTCCCAAAAACGAAAGGGGATCCGGGGGTCCTCCCCCTGGAAAATTTTGATTTCTAGATGGCGGGAAATTACCTTTCTCGACTTTTGAGCTAGATGTCTAATGGCTACGGTATGTTCTTCAAAATTCAAGGTCCCCCCACACCCCTCTTGAAAATAATCAGATAAACTTTCTCATTCTTATTACAGTAAATTGACCGTGTATACATACATATAAAAAAATTAGTAGTTGCATACGTATTCTTTTTTCATTTTCAATGAATCGATAAGGTCCAAAGAAAAAAAAAGGGGGGGGGGTACGGGGGAAAATTTTGATTCCTAGAAGGCGGGAAATGAGTTTTCCCGACTTCTGAGGTGTCTTTTATTTACTTTTAAGTTCTTCAAAATTCAAGGTATTTCCCTCTTGAAAATTATTATGATGAATAAATGAACCCAAAGAGAAAAGGGAGGTTCAGGTTCTCCCCGGGGAAATGTTGATTTCTAAATGGTGGGAAATGAGCCTTCCCGACTTCTGAAGTATCTTTTAACGACTTTAATTTAAGTTATGCAAAATTCAACATTTTCCCCTCTTGAAAACGGTCAGTTAAATTTTTTCCATTGTTATTACAGCAGATAGGCCTTATGATGTGTATACACAGGGCCGTCGGAACCGCACCGGCCGCACCGGCTTTGGGCGGACCACTTTTTCTCAATCCTATCACAGGTCTCCCTCCATTCCACCAATTAAAAATCCTTTTTGGGACCAGGGTTTTTAGTGGTCTTTAGCAGCTTTGGTCTCTAATTTGTATCAATATAATTAAAGACCGTGTTTAAAAGTAGTCTCTAATATCTCTATTTAGAGGGGAATTAAGCAGGGGTGGCGCCAGGACCTGCCCGACGGAGGGGCTAAAGGCCCCGAGACAGAGTCAGGACAGCTACACATGAATAATTACACGCACATACAAATCCGATATACGCGGTGGAGCGATGTGGGGCGACGTCTGCGATAGATGAGATTTGCCCAACGGGAAGGCCGATTTCCCCCGACGATAGCAGGGAAGCCAAGAACTGTGGTGGCGCCAGGACTTGCCCGACGAAGGGGCTAAAATGAGCATTTGTCATAACAGAACGCAAATTATTTTTAATTAGTCTAATTGAATTATTATTATTATTATTATTATTATTGTTGTTGTGATGAAAAGTTAACACAAACAATATGGTGGCTAAACGAATATTACATGTAAATATTGTTTTTTATTTGTTTGTTCCCCGACAAAATGTATTGTCTTCCCCGACGGGGGAGGGGGCTATAGCCCCCAGCGCCCCCCCCCCCCTTCTGGCGCNCCCCTGGCGCCACCCCTGGAATTAAGAAATGATATAGTAAATGTAAGATGTTTGAATGGGTGTAGGGCCTACAGTTGTAAGATGTTATTATTATTATTAATGCTAAAACTATTTCCCTGTAGTCAAGTCCTGTGCATGGTGGTCTGTTAGTGTCGAATTCAAGTCCCAATTTGGAAGAATCCACATCCGGGAGATCTGTTTAAATGAATTTTCTTACCACAACCATAGAGAAAATAGAACTGTTCTATTTTCTCTATGCCACAACCAAATTTTGCTGTGCATGGTGATAACCATTAATGATTGGTACTAACTGCTGCGCAGACAATTGATATTACAGTTTCAAAACTTGTTAAAGCATGCAAATATGATCATGAATTTGCGGGAGATGGTTTTATTTCGGGGAAAAATATGCTGGAGTTCTTCCTGCCAGTTTCTAGGAGACCCCATTGCGAGACTCTACGGGAGACATGGAACACATGGGTACTAAATGTGGTCTTCAGATTTCTCTATTTAGATGTAAATTAAAAAATGATACATTAAATGTTTTAAAATGGTTGTACAGTAACTGCATGCTCTTATTTATTCTTAATTAAACATTTCTTAGTAGCCAGACATCAACTTGTCTTTCCATTAAAATATTACTGACATTGCCACTAACATTTATCGTCATTCAATAGAAAAAAACGCTATACACAAAACAGTGCATTGGCTAATATATCTACGTGTAAGTAATATAGGCCTATAACACAATTTATTGTATTGCCGTGTACATTTCAACTTTATTGACAATCCTTAATTTCAATATTTAAGATTGATTTTGAAATTGTTTAGAGGTATAATATAAAATAACTATTATAACATTTTTGGCAAAGGTATAATGGCCAAGCCGGCCCTGATTAGGCCTACTTCCAATATAAAAAATTGTAACCCTTAAATTAAAAGTGAAGACATTAATTTTTCTAAAATTATGCATGTGCTATTTCCCGGCTGAGGAGCCATTTTTTCAACAATGGTGAAAAAAAAAAAAATGTGTTGCACCCTACCACCCACCCATGCCCACTCTTATTAAAATGGCCGGAAACACTTGCAAAATGCTTCCGACGGCTATGATACATACATAAACAAAATTGAGTAGTTGCATACGATTTTTTTTCCATGACTCCATAAATCCCAAAAAGAAAGGGGGGTTCGGAGGTCCTCCCCCGGGAAAATTTTGATTCCTAGAAGGCTTGAAATGAGCTTTTCCGACTTCTGAGGTGTCTTTTAATTACGTTTAAGTTCTTCAAAATTCAAGGCTTCCCCTGTTGAAAATTATTATAATGAATCAATGAACTCAAAGAGGAAAGGGAGGTTCGGGTTCTTCCCTGGAAAGTGTTGATTAAATGGTGGGAAATGAGCTTTCCCAACTTCTCAAGTAGCTAGGTGTTAGCTAGGTGTCTAATGACTATGTTCTTCAAAATTCAAGGTTTTCCCCCTCTTGAAAACGGTCAGGTACGGTAAACTTTCTCATTCTTATTACAGTAAATTGGCTGGTTGTGTGTGTATACATACATAAAAAAAAATAGTAGTTGCATACGTATTCTTTTTTTAATGAATCGATAAGCTCCAAAGAAAAGGGGTTTCCCGGGGTTCTTCCCCGGGAAAATTTTGATTCCTAAATGGCGGGAAATGAACTTTTCCGACTTCTGAGGTGTTTTAATTACTTTTAAGTTCTTCAAAGGTTTCCTCTCTTGAAAACGGTCAGGTAAATTTTTCCACTTGTTATTACAGTAAATAGGCCTTATGTGTGTATACATACATATAAAAAATATTGAGTAGTTGCATATAATTTTTTTTTTTCATAAATCGATAAATCCCAAATAGAAAGGGGGTCCGGAGGTTCTCCCCCGGGAAAATTTTGATTCCAGAAGACGGGAAGTGAGCTTTCCTGACTTCTGAGGTGTCTTTTAATTACTTTGAATTTCTTCAAAAATTTAAAGGTTTTCCACCTCTTGAAAATAATTCAATGAATCAATGAACCCCAAAGAAATAGGTGTCCGGGTTCCCCCGAAAAAATTTTGATTCCTAGAAGGCGGGAAATGGGCTTTCCCGACTTCTGAAGTGTCTTTTAATTACTTTTAATTTCTTCAAAATTCAAGATTTACCCCTCTTGAAAATAAATCAATGAATCGATGAACCCCCCACAAAAAGGGGGTCCGGGTTCCCCCGGGAAAATTTCGATTTCTAGAATGCGGGAAATAAGCTTTCCTGACTTTGGAAATGTCTTTTAAATGACTTTTTAAGTTCTGCAAAATTCAAGGTTTTCCCCTCTTGAAGACGGTCAGGTAAAATTTTCTCATTTTTTATTTTATATGTGTATACATACATAAATAAATGAGTAGTTACATGCGTATTCTTTTTTCCACGAATCGATGAATTCCAAAAAGAAATGGTGGTCTGGGGGTTCTCCCCCGGGAAAATTTTTATTCCTAGATGAATGAGCTTTCCCGACATTTGAAGTGTGTTTTAATGACTTTTATGTTCTTCAAAACTCTAATTTTCTTATTGTAACATGTCTCTTATACACAAAAAAAAAAAAAACAGCTCACGGGTCCTGAAAAGGTAGGTCTAGAATTCTTTTTTTCCCTTTTTTTTGTTGCCCAAGGGAAGGGTCAGGACCCATGACCCCCTCCCCCAGATCCGCCAATGTGAATTGCGAGAAAATGTAACTCGGTCTGGGACTGGATAAACATTCTCTTTCCCATCCTTCTTTCTTTTCTTGCATTTCTTTCCGATCATACAAAAATCTCCAGACATAATATATGCCCCCCCCCCCGGTTCCGCCGGCCATGTATGGGAACGGACATGAAGAGCGCCACGCCAATAGGCCCTACTTTGTTTTATTTTTATAATCGCCGCACTGAAGCCTCCAAATAATTTATAAGCGCCGCGGCGCTTATTCGAGCATTTACGGTATTCGTCAATGTTAAGAATAGGCTTTCCTGCAAACTTTGAAGTCTACTAATGACTTAAAGTTGTTTAACAATTCCATGTTTTTTACCGCCTTAGTAGATAGCACATTAGGAATTAGTATAAGTAAATTGTGTTTGGATTTGTTTAAAAAAAAAAAAAAAGAAGTACTGTATCATTAACGTAATGCGAATCAGTAAAGAGAACTAATCGGGCATCGAATGTTTGTTGATCTGTTCCTGCAATGTAATTTTATATAAAATTAGTATACTGTCTCATTTGCATCTTTAAGGGATTAAGGTAATGAGGAAAATTTAGGATGTACATATAAATCACAGTTTTCACACGTTCATTTTCTTTCTTACACTAACGTGAAGAAAATAATTACACTTTAAATCTCGAACTACAGTATTTCAACATACACTGTTCGGTTCTGCTCTGTGACAAAAATATAGGCACCTCAAATTTGTTTTAAATTTTGGAAATTAAAAAAAAAAATGTGCATACAGAAGCTACTACTTTCAATAGAATTCATAATATGAGTAAGAAAATATTTTTGTTAATTTTAGACCTGAGTTGAAGTTGTTAGTGGGATAGTGATTGGTGTTTCCCTCTACATCTTGTTAGACTTCTACATCTTGAAAGTGAATAGCGCCACCTCTCGGCAGAACCACAAGGAACAGAGGAAACTTGCATTTGCATTTTTGAGACGTCAAAAAGAAGATTTGTCTGTATATCTAAAACATCGCTGTCTCCCCAAAACCTACAGTTACAGTCATAATGTTATGAAATTTAATGGAACGAAAATTAGACCGAATATTAAATATAGCGTAATACATTACGATACACGAACAAAGCCATTGAAAGTATCGAACACAGTTTTCTTTTTATAATTCTTTTGGTTGGCACAATAGGTTTTATAAGCTTTTTTTAAATAATGTCTAAAGCTAAGCTTAAACTGGCTTAAAATTTGCCTAAGTTTCTATGCGCAGGTGCTACATTTTTTAATTAAATTGGATTCCCACCGAGATTTCTCCTCTGGATTCCGCTAACTTCCAGAAAATGATCAGACTCTCTGAAGGACACTTACCACCTCCCCTCAAGACAAATCCTGTCGCACCTCTACCGGAAGACATGGTTAAAATCCTATCAACCACGACATTTTCGCTCCCTCGTCGTTGTGTGTGTGCCACAATAGCGAAGGAGCGACTCACACTGTTGTATAACTTATCATATGTGTGTTCCTCATTCACAAAGATAAAATGGGTCCAGAGAGATAGATAGTAATAATTAATTGGCGTTATATTTGCTGGTACAGTATTTACAATAATGTAGACCTAAGTACAACCAATTTTATCTGGCCTTATACTAACAGTTCTACTCTTCATTTTTTGAACTAACGCATGCGTTTCTGGGGAACATAAAATTATACAGGTCTCCTTTATTCGAATAAATATGGTAGGGGCCTATTTTATTCCAAATGATTTAAAATGGATATATTAATTAATGTATACTGTTATTGATCCATTTAATTTTTTAAAAAATGCAATCTTCAACGTCGTATTAACGCTATCGGTATTCATTGAAGCTGTATATAGAGGCCTACACAATGATCGGCTTTTGATGTATATTATTTTTATAATGTTCAGTAATAATAATAATAATAATAATAATAATAATAATAATAATAATAATAATAATAATAATAATAATAATGATGATGATGATGATAATCATGATGATGATGATGACGATGATGATATGGTAACAACAACATAATAATAATAGCAATGTTAGTAAATAATACTGACGTCTTAAGTGCACCAATGCACGAAGAGGAATAAGTGTAAATAAAACACAAAGTAACAGAGAATCAGTATGGCATAGTAGTTATGCAAATTACGACGGAAGCGAAAGATATTATAAGAAGACTTTAAATAACAATTCATTTTTCGATAATCAGTCAATCACGAAAGCTATACTCAGTTTAGCTAAGTAATGTAAAGCGGCGAGCATTTGTTTAGGTGACGTGAAGAGGAACGGTTATGGACGCTAATGATTCTGAAGATGAACCTTTCGGTCAAAAAATAGAAGATAGTAATGCCGTACTTATATTTGTACTTTGTATTTATATACCATTGGACATTGTAATTATTGCCGGGAATACATTCGTTCTTGTAGTGATTCGACGAACACCGATTCTGCACAACATTCAGTTTGAGTTACTAGCATGTCTGGCCTTTGTTGATCTTCTTTCTGGTATCGTTGGTGTTCCGTTGAGTATATGGGGAAATATAACACGGCAGTCGCTATATCTTGTAGTTGAAGACTGTGAATTGCAGTACATCCCAGGCAAAATACTCTTCGCAATATCGTTTCTGCATCTGCTTTTGATAACTGTAGATCGATACATTGCAGTGATGAATCCTTTGATCTACCCCAAATTGGTCACGCGAAACAGAATACGAAAATGTGTGGCCGTAGCTTGGGTAGGTGGAACGATGTTTGGTGTGCTTTATCTATTTCCTAGTATCGAACGTCGTGATGAAAAATATTTCTGCTTTAAAACTTCAAAAAAGTTAGGTTCAATTGCATTGCTCCTGGCTGTGGTACTTGGCACTGCAATGATGGTATTCATGTACGTGTGTATTTTCAAAGAGGCAAAGAAGCAACAACGTAAAATTGTAAAAGCAAGCTCAAACAAAGCCGAATTTAAAAGGACGTTTAAAGGAGCGAAAACGGCATTTATCCTCGTCACTTTCTTTATAATGTACTATATGCCTCATGTTATACGCATATTACTTTGTACAGTAGTGGAACGCAAGGATCTGTTCTGGATGGAGTGGATAGCAGAAATATGTACCGCATCTAGCATGGCTATTAATCCCATAATTTATGTTTGCCGCTACAAATGTTTCGCTAGAGGTTTTCGTAAAATATTTAGATTAAACTTTCTGTTTGTTTAACAGGTTGGGAAGAAGGTCGCAGAGTTGACAAAATAGAAGTATAAGAGACCCTAGATCCACTGCTTTAAATTACTTATACGAATTATGGAGGAATTACGAATGTAGGTCCTAGGCACTTTACGTAATATATTATTTCCACAAAGAAAAACATATTTCTGATACTGACGTTAAAGCATTTAAATGCAACGAGTGGGTTCAAGGATTCTAAACTGTTTATAATAGCCCTCAGATACTTTCTTGATAAGGTCTTGTCCGAGAAACTAACTTTGTTACAGAAAGAAGGTGATGGATAAATATCAAGAATACGGCAGGAATCGTTCGTTGTTTCGATATCGTAGTTTTTGTTGGCAGGCCTATCATTGCACCATGTTGAATAAAGTGTAATTAGACAGATCAATAGACAAGTCCAGTGGCGTATCTAGAGGGGCGCAGGGGGGGGGGGGTGGTTGGGTTGCACGGCCCAAAATACTCTCCCCAGTCTCCCCCAAAAAATATCACGCTCAAGTAGTTAAAAAATCACCATAAATCACATTATTTAGCGAGCTTGCTCCCCTTCACCTAATCATCAAGTTCCCCACTTCACCTTTGCGCTCCCCATTTCAAGATTCATGGTATGCCACTGGACAAGTCGCAAATTATAAAAGAAAACAAGATTATGCTCCTGTGATTATTTTAGACTCATAAGAATACCTAATTCAGAGAGGAACAAACTAATTGTGCTGATGCAATTATAAACGGTGCCAAGCACAGACTTATATATAATACTGTATTAAAACAGCTATTTAAGTTAAACTAGGGAGCATGATGGCTTTAATTAAACACCTCTTGTTAATTCCGCTTTATCGGAAAGTTTAATTACTTGTCTACCTCTTAATTATTTTACAGTTTAGATCAGTAGTAACATAGGTGAAACATGGAGAAAATATATAATTAATAATATATTAATGTATTTTATCAATGGGTGAACAGAATTTTTTTTTAAAGACGAGAGGATGGATGCATTATAACACTGCAAAGAGCAATAAACGTCTCCCAGTGACGTCATAGGCCTGATGGCGTTTTACAATAGAGGCCAGGGGCTACTTAAACACTATTTTATTATATAGGCCCCTATACATAATATATATAGGCCTATATAATTATATAGGCCTAATGACTGATTATTATTATTATTATTATTATTATTATTATTGCATTTATTGTCGAAATGTCTTGTATAAAGTTTAAGTAGACCCCCTATGTCTTTCTTGCTAAAATATACTTTAATTAAATATTTGAAAAGCTTATTTTGTGTGGATATATTTATTTGGTATGGAGTTGCTAAGGAGAAATATTTATATTGTTGTTAAAACAAACCTTCCGATGTAGGCCTATAAAGTAAATAATTAACTTTCAATTTAACGGTAATAAATATTCCTCTGTTGCATAATTGTAGACTTTTTTAATTGGTTAGTTATCAACATAAAGATTTTCGTAGTCTTGAGAAATTGAAATCCGGATTTTTTTAAATTATATATATATATATTTTTTTTTATAGAAGTTACCACCGACAAATCATGTATCCCCTACTCCATTTGTGCTTATATACAATGATAGCTGCAAATAGGCGTATCATAATCAATTTGTCCATAAATTTCACTTAATTCAATAATTATGACATACTATTTATAAGCAACTCATGTATAAATGTTCAACACAATATAGGCCTATATAAATGTATTATATGATCGTTTAGTATATATCGTTTAGTTTAGTATTTTAAATTGTTGTATAGTACTATATTTATAATTGTGTATGAAATGTTAATTTATGTTTTGATATGAGCGATTATGCCCCTAGAAGTTTCCGTGGGGACAAATAAATTTTGAAACTGAATCTCAATCATTTCCCGTTTCTGAAATGGCTACAGTATCAGGGCTTCCAGAGATGGAGCTTCCATGACCCTACCTGGAGCTCTAGTGTAAACTGACATTATGTTTTCAGATCGTCAACATTAATAAAAACAGTATGTAGTTTTGATTCACTGCACGCCTTCGGTCTGGGAAATCCATCCTCATCTATGCTGCCGAATGCTGGACCCTCCCAGAAAAAGATGAAGCTATACTTTTTTAGACGCTTTTGACATGAGATATCAAAGAAAGAGTGTGCATATAGTCTGGTCACAACATATTTCCAATAAAATAATCAGATCCAGGATCAAACAACTGAGCCACAACTCACATCCATTTTGAGAAAACGTAGGCTAAATGGTTTGGCATGGCAAGCAACCCCATGTCGTCCGACGAACGACCAGGTCGTCGGATCGAAGATAAAAAAAATATATAATTTTCCTATCAAATAACGTAATTTTGATTGCCAATGCCTATTATTGTGGTCTTGGATCACACTAAGCCATAAAAAGTCTCCCATGAACCCTATCAAATAAAAAACCGGATTCTTAGGCAATTAAAATGTTTCTGAGTTCAAAAATATCAATAGGCCTAGAGAAGGTACCCTATAACAGAAAAAGAAAAATTTATTAAGAAATGGAGTTCTTTTACTTCATTACTAAAGGAAATTAATATTGCATAATTTAATTTCTACCTGCCCGTCACCACGATTTTTTTTTTTAATTAATTAATTTATTTTTTGTCTGTAACTTTTGTTTTCATTTTGAATTTACTATGATGTCTTTGTTTCTATTATTTCTGTAACCAATGAAAGAAATGAATAAAATATAAGATAATAATAATAATAAAAAAAAAACACCTATCAAATGGTTTCATATTCCAGGCCGTCGACCAAGGCTTCGTCAACCCTTTGGTTTGGGACCCCTCCGTCGGACTCGTCGGACCCCTCGTCAGCATATTTCTGGCGTCACAGCTGCTGCTGACCCACAGGCCGGGCCGTTAGGAAGCAGTTTGTTATTTAATCTGAGGCCCTGGGATTGGAAGGCCAGTATCAGCTTTTTGTATTTATGATTTTTTTTTTATGAATGGTTACAAAAATAATTTTCGGCACTTGTTCGAACATTTTCACACCGTATGTGTGTGTGGTTATGGGTAAACAATTATACACACACTTTTACATAGTAAACACAATCAAATAGAAGGTTTCAAAAAGAAAATTTCACAAAGAACAGTAAAATTATTTTTTTCATTAATCTCGATTTCCCAATGTGTATTCCTTCTTTAAGATATAAAATGTAAAAACCATTCCTCAATTACCCGGTGTCTCCAAGTCGTTTAATTAGTAGAATTGTTAGTGTAAGATAATAACTCTATTGAAAATTAATCTCCACTAACATGTAACTAAAGTACAAGCGCCTCTTTTACAGCCGCTAGGCAGTCACGGACCACGCCCATACGCAATTCAGCACAATAAAGCTGCGAGTCCCTACCAAGACTTCTCCATTCTTCTATGTGCAGGTGCTACGTCTTTGGATTAGATTCCCTCCGGGATTTCTACCGTATATATTCGAATACACGCCCCGCTTTGAATAACCGCCCCCTCAGATCCTCATTTTGAATAAATTCCCTCCCTAGAATAAACGGCCTGGGGCGTTAAGTTTTCCTCGAATAAACGCCACCCCCCCCCCCTACCAATGACTGTAAGCAAATCTATTGGAACCTATTCTCAACACTCTATTAGTACACTATTCCAGAATAATTACATTTTCTAACCTGGTTGGAATCAAGTCTTTATGATTACGCAATAACACATTTGACGGTGATTTACAGTGAAATTAATGGGCGTTTATTTGAGTATCAATTTTACGCAAAAAAATAAACGCCTCCCTCGAATAAACGCCTTCCCCCCACACCCAAAAACACCCCAAAAAAAAAAAAAAAAAGAAAAAAAAACCTTTCTCAACAATAAACGCCCTGCTGTTCTGCTGTTATTGATCCATTTAATTTTAAAAATCCTACAACGCTATCGGTATTCAATATGGAACACTGTATATACACACAGATCGGCTTTTGTTCAAGATGTATTTGATGCTATTTAATAATAATAATAATACAAAATAAATAATAATAATAATAATAGTAATGATGATAATAATAATAATAATAATAATAATTATGATGATGATAACAACTATTATGATACAATGTTAGTAAATAAAACACGTAACATGAAGTAACAGAGAATCAGTTATGACATAATAGTTATGCATATCAAAAACAGGCGGAAGCGAAAGTTATCATAAGAAGACTCAATAACAATCAATTTTCATAACCATTCAATCACGGAAGCTAAAATATTAAGTATATCTAAAGCGGCGAGCATTGTTTAAGGTGAAGTGAAGAGAAGCGGTTATGGACACCAATGACTCTGTAGATAAACTTTTCCTTCAAAAAATAGAAGATAGTAATGCCGTACTTATATTTGTACTCTGTATTTATATACCATTGGACATCGTAATTATTGCCGGGAATACGTTCGTTCTTGTAGTGATTCGACGAACACCGAGTCTGCACAACATTCAGTTTGAGTTACTAGCAAGGCTGGCCTTAGTTGATCTCCTTTCTGGTATCGTTGGTGTTCCGTTGAGTATATGGGGAAATATAACACGACAGTCGCTATATTTGGTAGTTGAAGACTGTGAATTGCAGTACATTCCGGGCAAAATACTCTTCGCAACATCGTTTCTGCATCTGCTTTTGATAACTGTAGATCGACACATTGCAGTGATGAATCCTTTGATCTACCCCAAATTGGTCACGCGAAACAGAATACGAAAATGTGTGGCCGTATCTTGGGTATGTGGAACGATATTTGGTTTGCTTTATCTATTTCCTAGTATCGAACGTCGTGATGAAAAATATTTCTGCTTTAAAACTTCAAAAAAGTTAGGTTCAATTGCCTTGCTCCTGGCTGTGGTACTTGGCACTGCAATGATGGTATTCATGTACGTGTGTATTTTCAAAGAGGCAAAGAAACATCAACGTAAACTTCTAAGTGCAGTCTCAAATAAAGCCGAATTTAAAAGGACGTTCAAAGGGGCAAAAACGGCATTTATCCTCGTCACTTTCTTTCTTATGTACTATATGCCTCATGTTATACGCATATTACTTTGTACAGTAGTGGAACGCACGGATCTGTTCTGGATGGAGTGGATGGCAGAAATATGTACCGCATCTAGCATGGCTCTTAATCCCATAATCTATGTTTGCCGCTACAAATGTTTCGCTAGAGGCTTTCGTAAAATATTTAGATTAAACTTCCTGGTTGTTTAACAAATTGGAAAGAGGGTCGGAGAGTTGACAAAATGGTTATACGAGACCCTAGGCTGGTCCACTGGGCTTTAGATTATACGAATGAATACCCTACACACTTCACGGAGTTAAGATTTCCTAAAAGAAAAACGTATTTCCGTTACTGATGTTAAAGCACTTTTAAATGCCACTAGTGGGTGTTCAAGGATTCTATACTTCTTATAATAGCTAGGCCTCAGATACTTCCTGATAAGGGCTAGTGTGAGTAACCCTCTTTGCTACAGAAAGCATCAAGAATACGGCAGGGATGATCGTTCATTGTTTCGATACCGTATCGTAGTTTTTGTTGGCATTTGCGATTTTTAACAGGAAATATCATTGCACCAAGTGGAATAAAATATAATTAGACAGATCAACACTAGAGTACTTTATTTCCGACCTTCATCAATTAAAAAAATTCTTAACAATGACTATTTTTTTATTTCTATTTTTTAAATTTGTTGTAATACGGTACTTCCTTGATGCTTTTATCCATTATTTTGAATTTTTCATTTTTACTGTCCATTCGATTTTTTTCAATTTTATCTTTTTATCCCTGCATCTATTTTATTATTTATTTTATAGGTATATCATTAGAAAGCATCAAGAAATAAATATCAAGAATACGGCAGGGATGATCGTTCGTTGTTTCGATATCGTAGTTTTTGTTGGCATTTGCGATTTTTAACAGGAAATATCATTGCACCAAGTGGAATAAAATATAATTAGACAGATCAACTCTAGAGTACTTTATTTCCGACCTTCATCAATTAAAAAAAAATTCTTAACAATGACTATTTTTTTTATTTCTATTTTTTAAATTTGATGTAATACGGTACTTCATTGATGCTTTTATCCATTATTTTGAATTTTTCATTTTTACTGTCCTTTCGATTTTTTTCAATTTTATCTTTTTATCCCTGCATCCATTTTATTATTTATTTTATAGGTATATCATTAGAAAGCATCAAGAAATAAATATCAAGAATACGGCAGGGATGATCGTTCGTTGTTTCGATATCGTAGTTTTTGTTGGCATTTGCGATTTTTAACAGGAAATATCATTGCACCAAGTGGAATAAAATATAATTAGACAGATCAACACTACAGTACTTTATTTCCGACCTTCATCAATTAAAAAAAATTCTTAACAATGACTTTTTTTTTTAATTTCTATTTTTTAAATTTGTTGTAATACGGTACTTCATTGATGCTTTTATCCATTATTTTTAATTTTTCATTTTTATTGTCCATTCGATTTTTTTCAATTTTTTCTTTTTATCCCTGCATCTATTTTATTATTTATTTTATAGGTATATCATTAATTTTATGAATTTAATCATGCTTGTTATGAATTTTATCAACACTTTTATGAATTTTAATTTATGAATTTTATCATGAATTTTATGAATTTTATCATACATTTTATGAATTTTATTTGTATTAATTTTATAAATTTTATCATAGCCTAAATGTTATTACATAGTCTTTCTTACATTTACTTTCTGCCTCTGTTGTTGTCAAACATATTAACAGATCGGTTGTCCTGGAAATACCACCCCTAAATCCGTTGAAATAGTGTCCGTGGCCATTGGTTTGCTTGCTTTTGAAATTCTTCCTTTGATTGTTTTTGTTAGGTTAAGTAAGGTTGTATTGTCTTGTGTAGTTGTGAATTTGTGTTTTTATTTTATTTTATTGTTTTAACAATTTTATACTGTAATTAATGGTCTTCATTTTACAAGATCTTTAGAGTTTCATGAATGCCCCTTTCATCTATCGTATTTTTAACATTTATATAAATTTTATTTGTAAATTGGTTTGATTAAATGAAAATAAAACTGAGAAAAAAAATCAATAGATAAGTCCAGTGGCGTATCTAGGGGTGCGAGGAGGGTGGGGGATGCACGACCCCAAATACTCTCCCCAGTCTCTCCCCCACCCCCACAAATATCACGCTCAAGTAGGTAAAGATCACCTCCACCTCATCTAATCATCGAGGCCCCCACTTCATTCGCGCTCCCCATCAGCTCCCTCCCCAGTTTAAGGCTCATAGATACGGCACTGAACAATCGTCGCAAATAATAAAAGAAAACAAGATTGTGTTCCTCAAATTGGTATTTTTAGACAGAGCGTCTCATAAAGGATAACTAATTCAGAGAGGAACAGACTAATTATGCTGATGCAATTATAAAAACACCACCAGGCACAGACTCATATATAATGCTGTATTAAAACAACTATTTGAATTAAACCAAGGGAGCACGTGGTTTAATCAAACGCCCGTAGGACCATTTGTACCAGAAGAAGCATAATTCCGCTTTATCGGAAAGTGTAATTACTTGTCTATCTCGCGGTAAGCTTATTTTGACTGGCCTCTTAATTGTTTAAGAGTTTAGGTCAGTAGCAACATAGGTGAAACATGGAGGAAATATATAATTTATGTATTAATATATTTAATTCATGGGAATTAAAAACGTGTATTATAACAAGAGCAAGAGCAGTGAACAGCTTTCCAAGGACATTGGCCCGATGACGTTTTACAGAGGCTAGGCGCTGCTTTAAAGACTATTTTATTCCACTCAAGGTTTCATTAGGCCTAAGTTTAATTCTAAATAGTTGGGTTTCTTGTATAAAGTTTATAGTTATAGTATGTGTTTCTTGCTAAAATACATTTTGATTAAAAATATGAATTTTGTGAGGATATATTTATTTGGTATGGAGTTGCCAAGGAAAAATACTTATATTATTGTTAAAAAGGCCTATGAGGGCCTACCGGGAGCTCTAGAGTAGACTGTCAAGATGGAAGGGGACATTGCGTTTTCAGAGCATTAAATAATGAAAACAAATAGATCCTGCAGTATACTTTCACGGAAAAGGCTACGAGGTTGATTATAAATACCTCGAAATCTCAACAACATTCAATTGAATTAGAGCCTATATTATTTATTTTTTTTCTTCTTTATATACTGGGTATTCTGTTCAGTAGATATCTACTGTTCTCACACAGGGCTAAGTCTCATAATGCACATACATATTTTATAGCACCATTTTATTAGCTTTATATACATTTAGATAAATAAGAAGTCATGTTAAGTACATATTAATTATCAATGTAACGTCTTACTCATACATACAGATTCCAGCTGTCTAATTGAATCACCATATTCAATATTTTTAAAAGCAGAATATTCATAAAAAAATTAATTTAATTGAAACTGGTTCGTCAAGATTGATATGCTAAAATATAGGATCCCCACAGTGAACCAGCCACTGATATTGTACGGGCTGAATAAATAAAATAATTCTCTAAATTTATGCAATCTATTATGTATTATAACAAGAGCAATGAACAGCTTTCCAAGGACATTGGGCCTGATGACGTTTACTGAGGCTAGGCGCAGCTTTAAAGACTATTTTATTCCATTTCAGTAGGCTTAAGTTTAATTCTAAATAGTTGGGTTTCTTGTATAAAGTTTATAGTATGTTTTCTCTAAATTTATGCAATTTATTAATCATACGCACTCTAAACTAAGATGGTTGTCCGCTGGCTTTTACTCCACTGTGGCTCCTTGCAGTCCCTAGTCCCCCATAGGACTGACGGTCGGGTTTGGCGCTTCAAATAGGAAGGCCCAGCAATTTTTCTTCTACTGGGCCCGTCATCAGCTAGCTATGCTGCTGCACTCTCCAGCATAACGGCGGCGAGATCGAGGTACAGAACCCCTGTTGCCTGTTCCCGGGGACCCTGAACCTCCGTCAGCAAATTCGTTCGTCGATGAGGAACACCCCACCTACACTTAATTTACGCTCATCCCCCTCCTGCTCCCTGTCACAACCTCTCCCATTCAGCTACTCCCACCAGATCACTAGATACACAATTCAATGTTAATCCAAGATGAAGTCCGTCTGTTCCAAGCTTGATATTGTACGTTAAATCAACCTTACATCTTTATGATCTTCCATCCTCACTGTATATTGCCATCTTAATTCTTTCTAGGGCCTCATTAAGTTATTTGGTTAAAATAGTATAAATGAGCTACTGTTGTTTTTGATTCATAAAGGTCACTTGTTTCCAGTTTATTGTTTCTTCATCATCATAATTAAATACATAATGTCATAATAATATCATAAATGGGAGGATGGCCAAATACGGAGCGGAGCTCGAACACTTGGCCCTTGTTTTATATATATAGGCCTATCACCACCCAGTAGTAAAGGAAAATTAGGCCTACAATGTTTAAAATCTTACAAAAACACATTAAATACTTGTTAAAATGTGCTATATAAAGCAATATTATTTGTCTAAAATGCGATATAATGTCCTACGACCACTATCGTTGCGCGTTGACCACTGGTGGTGACCAATGCAGAGCCGGCGATCATAGAAAGAGATGGTTCTGGACTTATGTAGAGTTCCTAGAATTCTAGACCAGGGGTTCTCAACTATAGGTCTATAGAAATAGGGGCAAAAATTGTTCATTGAATAGAGGGCCAGGGGAGGAGGTGTACTATGGCGCGTAGCCTGATCCTAGCCCCGCAGGAGCGAGCCGGAAGGAGGGTTATCGAGGGGGTGTCCTCCCCCCGAAATTATATTTTTTTTGAAAATATAGGCCTCTAGACGCTCATAAAGGGCATAGCTTGAACTAAGAAAGTTTCCTTGTGTGGTGATGCAAAACTCAAAATGTTATATATCACACAATGGGTCATCAGTATAAGTATCCACAAAATCCACGTGAAAGGTTTCATTAAACGAACGGCTTCTCATTTCCCGAACTTTTCTGGGGTGAGCAAAACCTTTCAACAATAAAGATGTTCTCTAAATGGAATGAAGAACTACTCACTAAAGGCAGCAGAGCTGGACCACCAATGGAAAACATTTCAGAAGATGATTGTGTCATGTCATTCTGGTTAAAGGTGTTTATCAAGAAAGCGACTGTACGACAGTGGTGGCGCTGCAGGACCTGCCCGACGGAGGGGCTAAAGGCGCCGGGGGGAGGGGGAGCCACGGATATTTGATGGCGAATTTTTATTACTTATTTGATAGGCATCGAGTTAATATAATATGACTTCATGTAGCCTTTCTAATGTTGAAATCAGCTTCCAAAAACCAAAACATTTTGAATGAAACAAGAAACAAGGAGTATGCAATGTAACCATCTATAATTAAGTGAAATTCTATATTTTGGAAATTTTGCATGAAATCTGTCAACCACGCTTTCATGGTCGAGGTCGCTTCACCTATCACGATGTATTACAACCATCATGAAGCTATCTAAATGAACATTTTGTCATACAGAACGCAAACTATTTTTAATTAGTCTCATTGAATTATTATTATTATTATTTTTATTATTATTATTATTATTATTATTATTATTATTATTATTATTATTATTATTATTATTATTAATAATATAATTATCATTGTTATTGTTAACACAAAACGAATATTACATGTAAATATTTTTTTTATTTGTTTGTTCCCCGACAAAACTTATCGTCTTCCCCGACGGGGTGGAGGGGCTATGCTTCCCCGACGGGGGCTATAGCCCCAGCCCCCCCCCCCCCCTCTGGCGCCACCCACTGCTGTACGAGAGGCCAACATTTGGCGTGTTTATGATTTCTTTTCTTTGCTGTTTGCTGATTGCTTGAATCGCTACAGCCTAGTCGACAAAACAGAATGTAAAATTATTAAAGTTAAAAGTCTAGGCCCAAGCCTAATGGAAAATATTATTTTCGGCTTGTTCTCGCGGGCCGCATAACACGCACTCGCGGGCCGGAGACGGCCCGTGGGCCTCCAGTTGAGAACCCCTGCTCCAGACCAATGCATTAATGTCTAGCGCCATCTACAACTCAAAATTATTCGCTTTTGGCTTCGATCGAGTACACGCCCTTCATTTCGTGTAGTCACAACACATATCATTGGACACAATACTAATACTAATCCATTGCAAGCTCTGGTAAGTTACACAACCGCAAATCTTTCAATACAATTCATTCGTTAAGCGTATATGTTATTTATGAGCTCTCAGTAGCTATGTACGTTTTACCATTATTACAATTTGGTAATCGTTTATGAATCGTTTGGATATCCTTAGTTCTACTGATTTGTCATCCCAAGAATCTTGGCAAATTTCAACCCTGCTATTGGTCGGCTCAATACTGTAAGTCATTTCTCGCTTTAATAACTAGGCCTATTCCTTTGGTAAAATATTTGTTCTTATTGTCAAATCACAAGTCGAAATTATATTTTCCTTTTGTGAGATGCTTTTTGCGTTGCCATGACGAGTAGACCTACGTGGTCAAAGACGATGGATGCTCGTGTGCCTTATGCTACTGGGTTACGCATCATGAAATTATTATTATAATTACGGAACTGTCTCCACGTTACTTATCGTCGTAATCCTCTTTCTTCAAATTTTCTTTAGGCAATCATGAGTAGACTTTGTGCAGTATACGTCTATTATAAGTAGCGTAGTGACAAGCCTACCTCCCCTCCAACACACACGTTGCAATCACAAACCCTCCTCCACCAACTCGAACCCTTATATCCATACAAAACACCATCATCACCACCACACCCCCTCCCCACCAAAAAAAAAAAAACCCCAACAGATGTGTAAATACCATTTAGTGAAATTTATATCTCATCCCATTTTCTTAAGTTCACGAATCATGAAAATGATGTCACTGTGATGAATCCCCTACGTTAATGATGATATAATTTATCCTGCATGCGTTCCTAGGTTGTAAGCCTGTTGTAATGCATTGGGCAGCAGTGCATATCGTAAAGGATCGACGCTTTGGGATTCCCACCACAATTATTGATTTTGACGGCTGGAGATCATTTTTACGCAATGGTGCGCTCGCGGTATTTGATAAAATCTGATATTATGTTGTGAGTTTTATAGGATAAATACTGTTGAGATTCTACGTTCAATTCGCAGCAGCAGTAATCGATAACAATATCGGATAATAAACCAATCTTATATATTATTTCTTTCTTTCCGTCCTCAATGGCCAATATCATCACATTTCAAACGTTACATTTACAATAAATTCGGTTTTTTTTTTTAAAGCAATTTGAGCAGGGGCGGATCCAGCGATGTTCAATTTTTTTTTTGGGTGGGGGCGAAAGTGGGGCTGGTCTAGAAAACACTACCCAGAGGGGTTAGGGGGATTCCCCGCGAAATTTTTGTTTTCAAGACTCCCAAAAATAACCTCTGAGGCGTTTTGGGGGCCATTTTTTCTTTTTCTTTCTTTTTTTCCCTTTCTTTTAACTTTCCAAAAGGTGCGCCCCTGTTGAGATACTACATTAAGCATTGGCCTAATAATAGGCCTATAATGTCATCTAAAGCCTTGTCCTGCCAATTGTATTTGACAAAAACATGTGACGTCACATCATGACCATATATAGGCACATCAAGAAAATTTGATAGTCTGGACAGAGCTTTAAATTAGCCAAGCCCACGTGTTTATAGGAGAATGTGTAATACGGGGTGCCGAGTGGTGTAAAAAAAACCAAATCAATCAATCAATACCTTCGTGTCTTTACTCCCTTGGGCAGAGTTCATAATCACTACACCAGAGGGAGTTCCACAGGAATGCTCGCTCTTCCAGTACGGTAACCAAAACTGAATCTGGTCGCAGACGGCTTTCAATTTAGGGGAAGTGGTAAACTCTATAACTCTCGACAGTTTGTGATTTGTCTTAATGAATTGTTCCAATGACCTGTGTATATAATGAACAGTAATTATTTATTGATATTATTATTATCATCTTCATTATTATTTTATTATTATTTAAATTATTATAGTATTATATTATTATTATTATTACAATTATTATTATTATTGCTATGTTATTATTACAATTATTATTATAATTATTGGTACTTTTTATTATGAATAGGCCCTATATCATTCTTACATTTTAAACATTTAATTTCTATAGCATTTATTAATTGTCTGTACTTTTTGGATTTGTCATTGGAGGGTTTTTTTTCTATTGTATGTGTTGCTTTGCCCTGGAGGATAACAAGGCTTTTTGCACCGATCAGGTCACCCAGGTAAAGAAGAAATAAATAAAAAACTAAAAATAAAAATCAATCATTCCATATTTTATAATGGCACCATTCCAACAATCATTGCTCAGGGCGCCATTCAGGAAAGATTATAAAACAAGGCAACTTAAGAATAAAATTGTTTGTCTATTGAACCTAATAAGTTTAACGTACATTCCACACTAGTTAGACCAAGTTAGACCTACGTGAGTCTGGCATATTCTCCTTTAAGATATAGGCCTAATTGTACCATAGAGAAAATACTCTATGATTGTACTATGAATAATTCTTTGGCAGGAAGTAACAAGCTGAAACTCTCAGACGCTGCAACGAAAACGATAATTATATTTTAGCGACATTTTTCTCATTTAGATGGTGATCAATAAAGGTTTATTTGGAATCAGTTTAGGTGCCCATTTTATTACCATGAATAATTTACCAATATATACACTCAGAATTATTATCAATCTAAAAAGGTAATAGGTAATATTTTCAGCGTTGACTATTTCACTTTTCGGTGATCATAACTTCATTTCGGTAAAGTTGTGTTTGTGTTCACCATGGATCCTCCAGCTCCGTGGGTTCAGCCTTGTTATCTCGAGCTGAGGTCTATTCCTTAGAAACGTCAACGAAGGAAATTAATGACACCAGCGAGCCTAGCACCTGAAGATTGAGGTACTCCTCATGAAACAGCATGTCTTTCCTCCAGTGTGTTTTATTTGTCTACTGCTCTGCTATATACTGCATTTAGCACTCTTGTTTATATGATCTGATTTAAGCCAACCACGCAGATTACAGTAGATATA